GAGGATGCTGAAGGCTTTGCAGGATCCGATGACTCCCAAACAGACAGACCGACCCCTTTCTCTCTGGACACAGATGACATCTCTACTTATGGAGAGGACTGTCTTGTCCCTGAGCCACACAAGGTATGATAGATGAACAGATTTTGATAGAGATTGTGAAGTCCAAAAAAAATGTTTCTAAAGGGCAGATTTTCAGGTTGCTTTCACAATGATGGAAAGATCTTTGAAGTGGCTTACGGCATTCAATCGTATCTAAAAAGTGTGGAGGATGGTTATAGGACATAAGTGATTTAAAAAGCAAAACAAAAAAAGTTAGTCTCAAGTCGCCCCTATTTGATGGAGCAGCCATTTCTAGTGGTGCCTGAAACCATAGTGGATGTTCTGAAGTGCACTCAATCAATCCCACAATGCACCACAATAATAAGTCTAAAAACATAAATACGGATCAACACTCAGCAGCTATAAAATACCAATGATGCACTTCGTTTGCATGCCAAATTAATTACTGTACCTGACCACAAAATGACATCCATAGGGGAATCCTATCTGTAATTTTCAAAATAAAATTTTTAATTAAAGTAATGTTTGTGTACATGACTTTATTAGTTGTTTCATTACTAATAGATAGATTAAGTGATAAATAATTATAACAGGGTCTAACATGAGGGAGTTATTAACCAGCAAAGCACAAACAAAACTCAAGTGCTTAAATTCACTCATTAATTTTCATTCACTCCTTTAAGTGGACTATATTTGTGGACTAGTGTAGGAAATAGTGATGAAGTATGTATAGTGAGATTTTGGATACAGCATAAGACTAAATCTTATATGTTCAAGCAATTGCATTAACGTAACTGGTATTTTCTGTTGTACTTGGTCATATTTATATTGATTTTAAAGAGGTCATATTTTACTCCTTTATGAAGGGTTGGTTCTGTTTTTTGGGTGTACCCGAATATTTCTTTCATGCTTGGTGGTTGGAAAATGCATTGTTTTTTTTTTTTTTTTTTTTTTTTTACATAATTAACATTACAAAACATTTCTTGACAAAAATCAGCACCTGTCACTGACATTTCACCCTGGAAAAACTCTCTTCAGGGTGGCATTTCAGCTGGTACAGTCTCCAAGAACTGGTGCAATCTGCAGACATCTATGCTCTATCTCAAATGATATGTTATGATCTCTTGCTGCCGAGGAGTTTTTTTTTTTTTTTTTTTTACCCGAAAACAAAACATTTATGGTTTGTAAAACACTCGCTGAAGTTTAAAGAGACTGCAGTATCAATCATTTCACACATTATTCACAACAAACAAACTGTTATGAAACTACCTTATTCCTATAAAGGCCTGTTTCCACTGAGTGGTACGGTATGGAACAATTTGGTACACTTTCATGACTTTCCACTGCCAAAAGGTACCTAAAAACGAACTGTACCATACCACTTTTTGGGCACCCTTTCAGAAGGGTGCCTAGCACAACAAAAGGGTTCCAAAAGGCGGAGTGAGACATGCAGCTATATTGGTTTACAGATATGCGTCACTAACTTGAGCACAAGCTAGGACATTGAAAACAAAGGAAGCGCCATTTTTAAATACACAGCCGAGACATTACACCAGTGGTTACCAAACTTGTTCCTGGAGGGCCGGTGTCCTGCAGATTTTAGCTCCAACCCTAATCAAACACACCTGAACAAGCTAATCAAGCTCTTACTAGGTATACTAGAAACACCCAGGCAGGTGTGTTGCGGCAAGTTGGAGCTGAACCCTGCAGGGACACTGGCCCTTCAGGACCGAGATTGGTGACCCCTGCATTACGCCGTAATAATATATACACATAATAACGAGCCATGGTTGACCTGAGCTTAAACAAACCTTTTTAAAGTGCTGACCCCCACATATATTGTTTTGATGTCCTTCATGAAGGATTATCTAGGGGTCAACCCCCCAATAATTTGCACTCTTGTTATAGAACTTGTATAAAATGTTCCTTTGATGCAAAAGCCCCTAATGTTATTTGTTGTTTTTGGTGATTTCAGTTTTTGATAAATAACCCTGGATTGTATTTTCTCATGTAGCTAAACATAATTGAGATCAACTATGCCAGGACAGCCAAGAAGATGGACATGAAGAAGCTAAAAACGACTATGTGGGGTCTCCTGACAGAAAGCCCTGAAAAAACAGCTAAGGTTTGTGATTGTGTTTTTTAGCATGAGTGAATGTCCTTTCCAGTGTGTCTCTGCTTAGTTTAGAAGTTGCATAAATTCAGCTGGTTATTACAGTAATCAACCATTATCGTTCTTATAAAACCGTTTTCCCTATACATTTATAATTTAGTTTGCATAGCAGAATAAGCAGATACATTTATATATATATTTTTTTTAAATAAACTGTTCTTTGTTTGTGCATGTTTCTTGTGGTTAGCTTATTTGTATTAAAATGTACATATGTAAATGATTCATTTCGTGTACCATTTATAGCAGGTGGAGAGTGAAGACACCACAGAAGTACCTGGTGAAAAATCGTTCAGCCAGTCTATCAGGAATCTTGTACAAAGGTAGTTTTTTAAAGCATGGTGCTTTTATTTATATATATATATATATATATATATATATATATATATATATATATATATATATATATATATATATATATATATATATATATATATATATATATATATATATATATATATGAAGGGTTGGTTCTGTTTTTTGGGTGTACCCGAATATTTCTTTCATGCTTGGTGGTTGGAAAATGCATTGGTTTTTTTTTTTGTTTTTTTTTTACATAATTAACATTACAAAATATTTCTTGACAAAAATCAGCACCTGTCACTGACATTTCACCCTGGAAAAACTCTTCAGGGTGGCATATGTGTATATATATATATATATATATATATGTATATATATTATATATATATATATTTATATATATATATATATATATATATATATATATATATATATATATATATATATATAATATTTATTTATTTATTTATTTATTTTTTTCCCACTGAGACTGAACAATATATTGTTTCAGCATTGATATCGCAATGTGATCACTTGCAATAGTCACATCATATGTGCAATGTTGAGTCTGGATTAAGATTATTAATTATTATTAATTATTGTAAATTTTGCAAGTGTTTTTTGAGGCCTGTCACTGTGTAAAAGTTTTAAAAGCATTCAGGCATAAGAAAATATACTGTTTTTAACTTTAAAAAATGAATAACGATTAATTTTATGGAATTGTTAATAAAATGAAGACTATGCAGTTTTATTTTACATTTGATTATTTAATTACTGTATACTTGAATACACTTTGACTCTTCGGAAAACAACAAAACTGTAAATTTAATTGGCATATCTTTAATTTATCTATGCTTGCAGATTGTTTATTATACAAATATTGTGCTCAATAATATAAATATTATGCTTATTATATAAGACTTATTGTGCTCAAACTTATTATATTATATTTTATGCACTCCCTGATAGAATCTTCCCTATTTAAAATGATAGATTCTTTACAAATATTAATTCAACTCATCTTATGAAATTGTATTTATATCATATATATTGCAGAATAAAACAAATTGCAATGTGTAATATTTCCATCCCTTATTCTCACTGTTCCTGTTCATTAAGGGGAAAAAGTGATCTAAATATTTCAATTTTGTTTATCCATTCACTGTACATTTTTTTTTTTTGTAGGCTTCCCTCTGCCATGGCTACTAATCTGTCAGTACCCTTGGCTTTCGTGGCCCTTCTGCACTTGGCTAATGAGAAAGTGAGTACTTTAAAATAGTTCAACGCTTACTATAGACGAAGATCTAATAAATATTCAGTGTTGATTTACTGTTAGCATGCTGTCTTGTTTAAACTTGTTTTTGTAACCTGCATGTAGAAACCTATTGTTTGTGTATTTAATTGCTGTGAATCTAAAAGTGGTTCTTTCCATCAACAGAACTTGGAGCTGCACAAAATTGATGGCATGACTGATATCATCATTAAACAAGGCCACTGAAAATCTGACACAAATCTTTTATGCACAAATTGTCATTTGTATCAAAATGTAAATCCGCTTTCTTTTGTTCTCCATGGCATGTAAAAATACAAATGTCGGGACAAAACAGTATAGCCAAGAGGAGGAGGAGGAGGAGGAGGATGATGACGGTGGTGTCAGGATTATGATAATGTTGTACAGGGAAATACCAAACCACAGACTTTTTTATTGATATATATATATATATACACACACACAAGTGAAAGTGAAAGATGTCAGAAGCATTCACCAAGAGGAAAAAACTCAACATGGTGCAGTTTGAATAATGTTTGCTTTTAAAATCAAGCGTTTTGATAACTTTAGCAGCTTCAGTAAAAAGTAAAAATATTAATGTGCTGTTTTCAGTGTCACTGTTTTTTTATTGCATTATTTAAATTGTAAAACATAATTTCTTAACTTTGAGGTTTCTTTTAGATGTGTATTGTACATACCATTTTCAAAAATAAAACGTGTTGTCACATTTATGCTTGGTTTTGTGTCTAGTATGATTTTTTTTTAAATAGAATAATGCTTTAAATGCATGCAATGCCAAAGGCGTTTAGGTGGAGTTGTTGAAGACGTATTGTGTTTCATGCATAGGAATTGAACTATTTTAACTTTGTTTTTAAGCAGTTTTCATCATGCTTGAAATTATAAACTTCTATAAATACCACTGAGTTTAATCACACATCAGTACTTTTAGAAAACTCACTCTAATCCGGTTTTACAAGACGCTTCTCATACCTGCCGGGAAGACGTCTAGATGGCATGATTATAGTATTTGCACTCACCTTACAGGTGTGTTTGTGAGATGAACCCGGCGCCATCTTGAGGATGCTATGGGAAGTGTCGCATCAGAGGTGGGCCAAAGCCAAGTCATTCGCTGCTGGAGGAAGAGTGAATTAGAGACCAGGAAGTGTTGACACGGCGTACATCTATCGGTTACACTAGAAAACAGTTGCAAACATTTTAATTCTAAAGGATAACGTGTATTTTTTATATTGTGGAGTAAATAAAAAGAAGCTGGTGAAACTATGGGTGTAACTGATCCAAACAGTACGGTAAGTCACTAATTTTAACAACAGTCAGCAGGTGCTTTTTGTTGCATCGTTTTTAAGTTTATAGTTAACAAAACTGTGCGAACTTAATTTCTCTTGATATCTGTGCGAATGTTACTTTTAGTGGTGCAAACATTAGAACAAGTCAGTGTGTGTGCGTGTCTTGTTTTTCACCGGTTGGTGTTAGTTTGACGCACTCCAAACAGGGCGAAGCTTGTTTTTCAAGTTTTACTTAAGTTTCTACGTTCCTGTTGTCAGCAAATGTAGATAATTTGCTTGGTTATCTTATACAAATGTAATGTTTAAATAACACATTTATACTTGAGATTAGTACCGTTTATATTGGAATTTTCTTGTACTGATTTGTTTACTCAGATGGATTGAATTTACCTTGAGCTTCGAAGCATAACCGGTTTGCATGATACTGTTGAGCTCCACTCTTACTGAATGGGCCCTCAGTTTAGAAATATATTCACAATAACTTCAGCTTGCAAATGTGCTGATAACATAACACATCTCTTTGACTGTTAAACTGAACCAGAAGTGTTAGGTCCTCCTGCTCGTTTGCTTCAGATCAGGTTGGTCAACTGTCAACACTTGGTTTTAAAATCATTTCACAAGTTCCACTCACAGTGTAGAGACTAACGTTACTTCGATGTATGTGGCATTGTGGTTAAGATAAAGTTTGTCTGTAGTGTTTTAAATAAATAATATATTCAATTTGTCATTTGAATGCTGGTCCTTGAAGGAAGCAAGCATGTCGTTGTTTAATACAAATATTAAAGAAACTCAAGTTTAAGAAATGGAAAATTACTTACCCTTGTTGCAAACCTGTTTGATTTTTCTTTCTTACATAAAACACACAGATATGTATTTTGAAAAAAGCTGGAAACCTGTAACCATTGACTTGCATAGTATTTGTTTTTCCTTCTATTGAATTCAGTGGTTACATGTTTTTGGCTTTCTTTCAACAGAAGACACTCAAAGGTTTGGAACTAATTGAGGGTGACTAAATAGTGAGTAAATGTTCTTTTTTGGGTGAACTTTTCATTGAAGATGATTGTTTATCCCATTATATATCTTTGATACATTTAAGTTTTAATTAAAAAAAACAGTTTCAACAAAACATACTTGCGGTTCACATAATACCAAATTATATTCTTTTTAATTATCATGTTGTTTCTGTCACATTATAAAGTGGATCGCACACATCACACTATTTTGCCACAATATTGGTACCTCGAACTGCCAGTATCAGATGTTACCTAATAGCTTTCTGCCATCCTGTAGGTCTTGTGACACCAACACACACACACACACAAAGAGAGAGCCATTGAGTATAATAGAAGGGCAGGACAGGTAGTGACGCAACAATGCTTTTGGTTTCCTGGTAACTCCTTTTGTTTATGAGGTATCTGCCGAACAGGAGAGCTTAAATGTGTTTAAAATGGCTGAACGTGTAAAAAGCACAGAGAGTTTACTCTTAAGACACAAATTGCACAATTAACGGCTAAAGATTGCTTCCATGAGACTTGTTCTATGTTTAAGTGTAGCAGTATTTTATTGGTGCTTTAATGTGTGAATGTGGTTAGGCTTTCTTGTTTGGTTTTGCGAGTATCACACATAAGGTGCCACATCTACACTACAGGCGAATTATACTGTATGATGTCTTGGAGTTGTTTTTATTTGGATTAAATATTCTGTCAAATGCAATTGAGTCACACAAATTCAGTTTGTTGTATTTGAATTATATTTCAGAATGTTAAAATTGGCATTCATCCAATCCTATTAATGCAATGTCATAAAATACTTTTCATTTCTCTAAAATACTTCAAATTTACAATACTTTAAGTAAAGCAGTAAATACTTTTGAAGAAGAATGTTGATGTTATTGCATGCCTTTTACATGTGTAAATATATCGCAGTGTTGCACACATACTGTACACATCATGTTGGATATATTGGATCTTTCCATGCTCAACATCTAAAAACCAAATGATCAAATAAATTATTATCAAATTAATTATTAAACCAAATTCAAATTGTGTGCTGCACATTTAAGATTATACAGTATATTAAAAATAAATACATTTGTAAAGTAGTTGATATAATTCTCTAGTAAACCAATGTAGTACTAAGCTCCGATATCTCTTGACCAATAATGGACAATGTTGAACATTAATGTTTGTACTTAAAAATGCACTCTATGTAATACCGTTGACCTTCGTACACTTTCTAATCTAATGTCTATCTTCTTTCATTTATTAATTTTCTTGTCAGCTTAGTCCCTTTATTAATCTGGGGTCGCCACAGCGGAATGAACCGCCAACTTATCCAGCACATTTTTACACAGTGGATGCCCTTCCAGCCACAACCCATCTCTGGGAAAAATGTCTATCTTATCCTTTTTAAATAAAACTTCCTAGCTCTGACTTTCTTCTTCAAATACACTTTTATTTGTTCTAATACTGTCTATAGAGGTTGATCTACTTCTAGCACTAACAATCTGTTTTCTGTACTTTTTTCTTTTCTAAATAATTTGGCCTTCTGGCATAACGCAGTTTTCTTTTTCTCTCTCTCTCTCTCTCTCTCTCTGTCAATTCAAATCAATTAAATTCAATAATTGTGTTATTTGCATGACAATTGTAAGAAATGTATTGCCAAAGCATTCATAAACTTTACTTTAAAAAGAACATGCTTGTAACAAATAAGGAATGGTTAACTATTTTGAAACACAGATGATCACAGGTAATTCAGATTCATGGAGAGAATTTATTTGGAAAAATGTAAACATGAAACATTTTATTTTAGGTGTTATAAAGAACCCTTTCAAACTAGAGATAAAAAAGGTGAATGCTGTAGAAAATGTGAAAATATATTGGCTGATTATGTCCACATATTTTGGTATTGTAATATTATACACACCTATTGGCAAAATTAAATAAAGAGATAAATGCTATAATAGGATTGAATATTGATTGTAATTTTAAAACTATCTACCTGGGAGTTTACTCTTCAAAAATACTAAAAAATGAGGGATATCTTCTTAATACACTTCTAAAATCTAGCAAAAAGGCCATTACAAAAAAAATGTCTCAAGGAACATCCTCCATCTGTAGGTGAATGGTATGAGGTGTATGATATGGAAGTACTGACACTTTCCTTGAGACAATTAATCTATAAAGTTTCTGCATACTGTGGTAAATTGTTGAAAAGAAATTATTTTTATTTTATTTTATTGTGGTGATTTTTATTTATATATATCAAGGGCCTGTTGATCTCAAGTAACCCTTGACAAAATTTTATATAGCAACATTTTATCAACCATAAATACGAATGTAAATAAGATTGTATTCAGTGACCGTTGACACTTGTATTTTATGTCTTTTTTGTTTCCATGTTCCTTTGAAAATGTTTTTTGTTTGTTTTTGTTCTGAACTGTTTTGAAAAAAAAAAAAAAAAAAAAATATATATATATATATATATATATATATATATATATATATATATATATATATATATATATTAAAAAAAACAGTAAATAGTCGTAGTAAATAATATAATAATAATAATAATATAAAAAATTATAAATAAAAAATGTAAATAACAAATGTAGGAATAATAATAATAATAATATTAAATCAAAATAAATTTTACATTTAACAATCAAGACTTTAGGATAAAACTGTAATAATAAATAATAATTATCAGTGTATATTTACAATGATTAATTTATTGGCGCCATAACAGTTATAAATGTTACATTTGAATAGGAAATTTGCAATACCTGTGATACCTTGATTAAACAGTTTGTTTGTTTTTTCTTCTGTTTTTGAATTAAATTGTGGTTACCGGCTTATTAAATTACATGTACACAATAAAATTTGACTTATGGAATTAAAATTCCTAAAATGCTGCTTGCATTCATTTCAGTTTTATAAGTAGATTAATAGTTTTCATTTTCAATGTATTCAATTTATTTATTGCACATACATTAGACAGGCTTTTACTCAACATTTTGCAAACGTTCCTGACCTCTTTTCAAACTCATTATGACATTCTGTCTCTTTAGATGTATTGTATAACACAACAGTGGGTTATTTTCATATTTATGCCCACCATTTTAATTTGCTTTTGTTTTGTGTGCAGGAGCATAGAGAAGGAGAATCTTCACAGGATGCAGATCGAGTCAAAGCTCTGCAGTCTCAAGTGGACGGGGTCAAGGATATTATGACCCAGAATGTTGATCGAATTCTGGCCCGTGGAGAAAGACTGGATGATCTAATGGGAAAATCTGAAGACCTGGAGGCCGGGGTGGGTTTTTAATACAAAACCTCTTTGATCCTTATCACGTATTACAGCCGTAAGCCTGGCACAATGTTGTTAGTATGTACACTCACTGTCGAGTCTAAGGTCAGTTGGATTTGTTAATTGTTTTTGAAAGAAGTCTCTTATGCTCTCCAAGGCTACATAACATTTTACTGTCTGCATTTTGAGTGGTTTTGAAATAGTGAGCTAGAGTTATTATTTGAGATATTGAGCTAGAGTCATTTTATTTTCTAATAGTTCAGTAAAAGTGTTTTTATCATAATTTATGCACATATTTTCTTATAGAATAAAAGGTTTATCTTACTCAGTTATGTGCATATGTTTTTTTTTTATGCGCATTTTCAAAATTTATGCGCATCTTGGCGTTTCCAACAACCGTTTTTTATGCACATATCTAAAATGCGCATAAAAATAGGTGGTTGGAAACGTAGCTACTGACAATTTAAAATAACAGTTTTTAGTAACTTATTAATTTAGAATGTATTTTTTTTTATTCTTTTGATGTTAAAACTGAAAATTTCAGCAGTCATTGCTCCAGTCTTCAGGGTGACAGGTACCAAAGAAGGTCTGCACTCAATAATTTATTTTAAAAATCACAGGAGAAAAGAAAAAACAAACATTTCGACTGTGCGCTTTTGTCAGTGTAATGATTCTGAAACTCTTGCTGCTCAAATACTCAGTAATTCCAGGCGTTAGCAATCAAAAGAGTAACAGATCTCCTTGATCTTATTGGTTTCAGTTAAAATCAAATTGTCATAAATCAGGAATAGATCAGGGTCATATGAATTTTTAGGAACATTATAAAGGCTACTTTTTTGGTTTCCCAAGAATGCGTTTCTTACACAAGACAAAAGCAGGGATGTTCCGATCGATTGGCCAGAGATCAGTATTGGCCAGATTATCGAGTACCAATCGAGTCATGAAATCGGCCAATCTCATAAACCGATCCCAAGTGTTTGTTTAAGAGTTTAGGCAGAGTAAGGGTGAAACTTTTTCATGTTGAATTCTTCTACCATCATTTGCAGTTAATACAAATTGCATAGTTAGCAATTTTTCTTACCATTTTTTTTATCTGTTTTATCTATTATTTTCTGTAAAGCTGCTTCTGATCATGACATGTCCACACTAAATGGCTATAAGAGACATGTTAAAGGGATTATATGCAACCTCCTTGCTTTTATTGTCTTATGTAAGGAGAGATCTCCACATAAGTGTCATACTTAGTGAAAATACTTAGTGTCATACTTAGTATGCATTATAAAGCTTGAAGCATCAGAATCGGTTCTTGGTATCGGCCGATCCTCATGACAAGAAATTGTTACTCGGTATCGGCTGCAAAAATCCTGATCAGAGCAGCCCTAGACAAAGACTTATAAATACCAATATTTTTGACCGGAATTTGTGCAACTTTAGTTTTAAGGTCCTATGAAATTACAATAAAAGTTTTTTAGACATTAGTATCAGTATTGTTAGTTTTTATGATATTTATAATCTAGTGTGCTTCAAAACCGTGACAAAATTAGCTTTTAGAAGATATGAAACTAATATGAACATGTAAAACTTAGTTTGTCAATTCGCCTAAATGGATCAACAGTTTTATTTACGTCAATGAAAATGCATATTTCAAAGCACTTCACAGGACATTTAAATAAATTTTCTCACTATTAAACTCAGGTTTATTACCTCCCTCTCATTAAGATATCGGCTGGTCATTAGTACTTATTAAGTACATACTCTGCATGATCATATTGAACATCCCTAATCCTACCTAATACCTGAGCTTAACTATTAATAATCAGAAAAGTAGGAGTTTATTGAGCCAAAAATGTATAGATCATTGGTTTATTAATAGCCAGAATTGTACCTTAAAATAAGGTGTAACCCAGTGCATGTCTTTACTGTCTTTTTATTACCAACTTCATCTCATGTACTTACCAATCAACCTTTTCCCCTTTTTTCTGCTACTTAGGCCCAGAACTTCAAGCAAACCTCCCAGAAGGTCGCTCGTGCTTTCTGGTGGAAAAACGTGAAGCTGATTGTGCTGATTGTTGTGATAGTTCTGGTCATTTTACTGATTATCATATTCCTTGCAACTGGTGTGATTCCAGTCAGTGGAAGTGCTCCAAAACCTCCAACCGTAACGCCACCATAGGATTAGGAGCAAAAGATCAATTACACAAACACAGTCACATATACATATCGATATATATAGAGAGAGAGGGTGAGCAGTGTCCACACACCAACACGTATAACACACACTTCCTTTATTTGCACATTTTACTCCTATACCTTCATATATCATGCTATCATGTCATCTTATAATGAGGAGCTTTTATAATGACAGCCTTGAAACCTTGAAGTGGAAGTAGTTTAAAGACACAACACTGTCTTCTTGACATACTTTTCACCTCCTGTAAAACAAAAACATCACTTCAGCTGTCTTTATGGGCTTCTAAAGCCTGATGAAATGCCACAACTGTCTGAAGTTACAATATATTTCACACTGAAGGTAACCTTATTGAATTAGAGAAGGTAATGGGGGACGTACTGCTGAATGAATTATGAAGTATATTTAAGACTGTTATAATATATTACGTAAGTTGTTACTTGTAATTATGGATTAGTTTTAGATCTTAAGATTGTCTTTATTTTGTATTCGATGGGTAGCTGTTTTGTCAACATTTATGTTAGTTATACATGTGAAAGGTCAAATAAAACTTTGTTCTTAGAATGTAGCTTTATAGAAAACACACCGTTTTGTTGAGGAAATTATAAAATTGTGAGATAGTTCCAGGTCTTAAATTAAGTTTCTGAAATCACCAATGTCCAAAGCTTTAAAACAGAACAATTTTCTTCCTATACAGAATTGATAAAATATTTTTATGGAAAAAAAGAGCACCTGAACAAGGTCATTTAGAGAGGAAATGGGTATTTTATTTATGTCGTTCTTCCTAATCTGAAATCTCTGCATTGAATGAATGTGACAAAGTTTAACACTTGCACTGTAAACACATGCAGTCAGTACTGTAATGGAAATTTCATACTGCATCAAAAAAAAAATGTGTTCCACAGTGGCGTTTTAAGACGCATACTTTTTTCTCAGACAGAAACAGAAATGTTTAAGAGTCTGTACTGTAATTTAAGTTTGCGGTTTTTACATATCTGGATTTATGCATTGAAAATCACTTCTCTGAATTGATGTCTGATCTCACTGTAGATCAGTCTGCTGTTAGCTCCATGCACTTTGTTTTGTAGAGGTCAAGGCAATGTCTGTATGTAGTCAGAATGACTTGACTGTTCAAATGTTTGTAAACCTGAGTCTTATTATGCTGTATGTTTCGTAGCATCCATTAACATCATAGGGTATTTAAAAACATATGAGGGTTTTAAACATTTGTATGTATTATTCTTCTTAATATTATACACAAATGATTACATCAAATAATAAAAAGTGATTTTATCTACAGCAAATTGTCATTAAATACAAGAATAAATTAATAAAAACCTTTAATAAAAACCTGAATTTGAATGTTCTTTGCATTCACCACCTGTAGCATATGGGAAATGTGTAAACTCAAAATAAACGCAAAAGAAGTATGGCATGCTTTTGTTCACCCTCTCATTTGAAAAGTTATCATTCATTATCATCGTGCTTCTGTTCGTTTATTGTTTAACTCAACGTGATAAACTTTAACTTATATTTTTAGTCAATATGATTGGTGTAAGTTGACGTTACTAGAAAAGTTTGATTCAAACTAAATATAGTTAGAAAAGAAAATAATAAATAATAATTAGTTAGAAATTTGATTCGACTAAATATATAATTAAATTTACATTTTATTAAACTTTCTTAAAAAAAAGAGCGAGTACACATGTCTAAGCAAGTGGTTTTGTTTTGTTTTTGATGTGATGTGATTTTGTTTTTCCTGCTCCACCTGCAGTTTACGCCTGCCACTAGATTTTGAACTATGTTCAGTTCAACTAGTTCAAACAGTTGATACGGAAAAGCAGTCTGACATTCTGAGTAAAAACTGAATTTGGCATTCAATTCAATTCATACTTATTTGTATAGCGCTTTTCACAATAAGTTTCGTTTCAAAGCAGCTTTACAAAAGGTGAACATTATCGCATTATGGTGTATCAGTAAATCAGTATATAATGGTATGTATTGGTATATCAGCATTTATCGGTGTATATTATAAATCAATAATATACTATATATCAATAATTTAAAAAAGGCAGATACCGATGGTTTGTTAATAGAGGCAATGAGTTGAAAAGAATTAAAGAATTATTACTTACATTTCTATTTGATACAATTTATGTACATTTTCTAATATAATCTTCCAAATTGGAAAATTTCTACAATTTCACAAATTAACTTCCCGTGTAAACTTATTGGAAAGTTTGAAGAAATGTACCGGAAATGATCAGCCCCTTTGCAACTCTTCTGAAAAAAGTAGGACATTTAATCTGAAATGAATGGCTTCATTAGGAGATGTCCTGAATGAACGCATGCTGACACTGGACGGTCTTGATTACAGAGAACCCACCCAGAGCAGATTAAAACCAGCCAATCTGACAATGAAGAGAGCTCAGCATCACCGGCCAGCACATTGGTCCTCAGCAATAAATTGAGCAAGATCTTGGGTTATTTAGTGAATCTTTTGATTCAATGTGATTTGCAACACTTCAACTGCTAAGCACGACACCATAACAGTCATATTTTGCTTAATTTTAATTTATTTACATTTAATTAATTTGCATAATTACTTTAACTGTCATAAGTTTTAACTATACAGCAACCAACCGATACAGAAGTAGATAACCACAATAAAACCGAGGGTTGTGCTGAGACACGCACCCCTGTTGTAAAATGTAGGTGATGCACCCCCACTGAAATGTGCATCTATTAACTGAAACTGTTTGGAAAAAAATAGTAGAGTGTAGGAACTATGACGTCAATTTGTATGCAAAAAAACGGAAGCGAGTTAGCATTTTAGCAGTTCCGGTTCCCTCGTCCCAAAGTCAACGGGCTTTTTTAATGGGAATTCAGTTCAATCGTCTAAGGTCCGTGGCTAACACAAACTTAGGATACGTTCACGTTTTATTCTACGACAAAACACATCAGTTACAGCACACTCTTGTTTTTTTTTTTTTGTTTTTTTTTTTTTTATCGGTTACGCTTCTTTAAAAAGACGGTTGCTATCAAGATGCTAAATGGGACTCATAGATATATACTTGTATATGTGTATATATGTATATATCTATGAATGGGACTACAGGCGGTGTCGGAGACATTATACGTCATCAAGCTGAACTGGTCTGGAGCGCAGCCCGCTAGTGTTGGGCATTTGCATTTGTCTGTTATTTAAATATTTTCATCAATAGTATTTCATAGTTTGTAGTACTTTTTTAATTGAGAATTGTGTGTAGATATTCCCTTCACCTGTAAAGACTGTCAAAACAGATTCATTTGTTGATCATTTATTTTATCTAAAGATATGGTAGCACTTTACAATAAGGTTCATTAGTTAATGCATTTAACTTGAACTAATCATGAACAACACATGTACAGCATTTATTAATCATAATTTAACATTTACTCATGCATTATTAACATCCAAGTTCATGCTTTTTAACATTAGTTAATGCACCATGAGTTAACATGAACTAACAATGAACTACTGTATTTTCATTAACTAACGTTTACTAAAATGAACAAATACAGTAGTAAATGTATTGTTCATTGTTTGTTCATGTTAGTAAATGCATTAATTAACATAACTAATAAACCTTATTGTAAAGTGTGACCAAAGATATTATGAAGATACTGCCTACCAGTGCAGCCTGTCTTTTCCCCTGCTCTCAGTAATGCAAACGTGAGAATAAATGTGTAAAAATACATACATTACCTGTCATTCTAACGTGATCAAATGATTTTTCGTCGTTTTTTTCTTCTTCATCATATGTCTGATGAAAATATTATGTATGCACATTTATACATAGCAAAGAGCTTAGAATGAGCATTCTAAGCGTATTTCAAAACTTTTACAACAAGCAAAACAAAATGTACATCCCACGTAAAAAAAAAAAACTATCCAAAAGGCACGTAGGTCTATATATATTTTTTGCGTATATATTTGTTTATAATATATAGCTTGGATTATAATATAATAAAACGAGAGAGTAAATATTTGTCATGGACCATATTTCTAAAAATAAGCTTAAAAAGTTGTCGTTAGCAGGTGGAATTGACGTCACATGCGAGCGCCCCGAAGGCTCTGTAGTCCGTAGTAGTATCAGAGTAGTATGTTAGCTTTTTTGTGTTTGTGTTTGCATTTCCAAAAGTGCTAAAAGTTGTATTTTCATGTTAGGATTATCCGGCTGGGCAAAACGTGTGAGTGTAATGAACTGTGTTTGAACACCAGGCTTATTATTTGCAATCTTCAAAAAGCGTATGGCGATCGAGGGAACCAGTTTTATGCTAGCAGCCGATTAGCCTACAAGGTGACGTCGTCAATTTGGAGGGCGGGTGTAGTGACGTCAGCGCGCATGGGCGGGACAGGCTGTGGATTCTGGTATAAATACGCACGTCAGCCATTTCCCCAGTTTGCCAGATCGCTAGTTTCTTAAACTTTTCGTCAGTAATGTCAAACAAACAAACTGTCCAAACACTCGATGGGATTCACGCCATTTACCGCCAAAAAGCCTTTTGGCCTGAATTCACATCCACAAAATCACACCAGGATGAAACCCATCTGTAAAGCAGCTTTAAAAAGGTATGTTATATTCGTTTGTGTTATTAATCAACGTAAGTTAGCGGTGATGCTAACCTGCAGCCCGGTTTGAATTGAGCAAAGTTTTGTTTGTGAAAAAATTATAGCTTTGCATTTGAATTGAATTGTGCTTAATGTTTAACGTTAGCCTAAACGAAAAGCTGTTATACTAGAGCTTACTTTGTTTTAAAGAGCTTGTTTGATACACTCAGTCGTTTTTATCGTCGTCAGTGATGGTGGAGTGATTGTTGAATTAAACATTTATTTATTTGTAAAGTTAAATGTGGATGTGCCGCGTTTTTAATACACTAGATTCAGTGTTTGTTTGTTAGTGTTTGTGGTGGTTTTTATGAGAGTAGGCTTCAGTTTGTTGTGCAGGATGAGATGTTGAATTGAGGTTTTATATTCGCGTATTTATTCAATTATGACTAACGTAACTAAGTATGTTCCGTAAAGATTTACCTTTTACGTTATATATATATATATATATATATATATATATATATATATATATATATATATATATATATATATATATATATTAAATGTGTGTGTGATCTATGTGTCTCACTCTTATTCCTGGTCACAGTAGAGACTCCTACCAAATCTGAAAAAAATCTGTAAGTTTGGTACGTCCACCTTAACGCGCTTGAAAATGAACAGTGTCGCTTAGGAGAGGAGACATTTATTTATATATATATATATATATATATATATATATATATATATATATATATATATATATATATAGATATAGATATAGATAGATATAGATATATATATATAGATGTGTGTGTTTGTGTGTGTATATATATATATTTATATATTTATATATATATATATATATATATATATATATATATATATATGTGTGTGCATTTGAATTTAATTTATGCATGACACAGTACTACAGTGTCATTTTGATGAATATCATATCGCTAATTGTTTATTAAAGGATCTTTTGTTGAATAAATGCTTTGAAATTGGGATGTCCTGAGAGAGACTGCAAACCCTATTTGGCCGTCGTCTTTGTGCATTGATGATGTTCATATTCATAAAAGATCAGTTAAGTTAGCGTTAACGTGCATTAATTTAATGTTTTAATATTTTTAAATGGTCACGCTGTAATAAAATGAGCATGCTCTAAAGCTTAAATGATTGTAAGGTTCTTTCATTACATTCCATAAAATATATGAACATTTAACATTAACTTCAAGTTAAACCGTAATAGTATATTCTGACATGAGTTTTTAATAGGACTTCAAGCAATGACCATTTTTGCCATTGAATTAATGCCATTCGCCCTGTATGGAACCGTATCATCTTTTCCATAAGGTGGTACTTTTCCCCTGTTTTCTAAAAAACTACTGGTCTAAAAGACATCAATCACAATTTAGATTGTACAATGGGTATTCACCCAGAGAATGGTCACGCAAGCATGTTTATCTGGCTTTTAATGATAGAGGAGTGGTTTGAGAGTAGTGGTAGTTAGTCTTAAAATGGGACTTTGCCATTGCTTACCGCTACATTGAATATTCGGTCTGAATACGCCTGTGTTACTTCAAAACAGCACTATTTTTAATTGACTATAAACCATGTTGCACTTAGTTATTGACTGATAATGTGATTTCACTATTTGTATTTTGCAAGCAGAAAGTCTGAATGTGCAAAATTAAAACAAACTTTTTCCCAATTGATATGATGTTGCCGGTCACCTTGATGAATTTTTCCAGATTCCTCCTGATTTTTCCAGGCTGTTGTTAGTAACTGTGGAGTTAGTAACTGTGGAACTGTGTAGCATAAATAGCTTATGGTCTGAAGGCTTATGTAGTAGAATATAGGCTTAAACTTTGTGCTGTTGAGGATGTTTTCATCCACTCTTTAGTGGTTTATAGGATTTTTTGGCCACAAATTCTTCTGTTTCACAGCAAATGCAATGTTTTTTTAGTGACAGCTTATTTTGACACATATTTGAGGAAAATGCTTTGGAATATTTTAGAAACTCAACAATATATTCTGGGCTACCCTCTCAGTATGTCGGTGTTTTTGCCCTATTGACTTCCATTATAACAGGGTTTTTTGATTGTAAAGCCATGACACCATATACTCGTGCATTTTTGATAAGTGGTGTTTTTTTAGGTGATCTTTACTATTTTCTTTTTGGTTTTGTCATATTTATTAATGCTCAATTTTTAAGTCTTCATTTATTGATATACTTCAGTTTTTATATATTTTATTTGTCGTGCCTTTCATAGCTTTATATATTTTATTTAGCTTTTTCTCATTTGTATTAGATTTGTTAGGTTTCATTTTTTGTTGTACGTCAGATTCAACTTGTTTGCTTAAATACTGTTGCAGTTTTTGGATTTTTTTTTTCCACAGTTAAGATTCAAAACATCTTTCAAAGAATTGTGGTTGTTCTTTCTGCGTAAACACTCAAAGCGAGAATCTTTAGAAATGGTAAATTAATAGGTAGGCATGCACAGTATGGCTGTTTATATGCAATTCTATGTGGAGTTTTCATGTTCTCCCCGTGTTGGTGTGGGTTTCCTCCAGAGTGCTCCGGTTCCCCCACAGTCCAAACACGTGCGCTATAGGATGAATTGAATAAACTAAATTGATCATTGTGTGTGTGGATGATTGTTTCCCAAATAGAGGTAAAGTAGTTGGTTTTATATTAGCACATTCTGACCTCTGCGTTCAATAAGTTTGTTAATCTGCAAGTAAAGAATCCAAATTCAAATATTTACCGTTGTAGTCAATTATGAGCCAAATGTCCACCACACTTTTTTTTGTCAAACTCGGCGTTTTAAAGGAGTATAAAAACACCTTCACCTCTATGAAGGTGATGTCATCGCTTTTTTGAGGGACCGCCTACAAACTATCAGTTTGTAAAATCAAGCTGCTAACGTTCACTGTCCATAGTAAGCCTATACTACTTAATCTTAATAAAATCATCTGCAAACAATACATCACAGACATGTTTATGTATACATTATATTATAACAATTTAAAAACAAAATTTATCAACATATAGAATTAGTAATTTAGAATAATACATTAGTATAGAATAGTAATTTTATATACTGATTATTGTGTTATGATTGATGTATACACTTTACACAAGTATACATGTTCATGTGTAATATGAATAATTAAATGTGTTTTTTTTTTCTTACTCTTCTTCTTTCCTCATTATTTACAGATTGTACGCAAGCAAAAGATGGCCAGATTGAGACTTGTGAACTTCACCACTGGGTCCCTCCTTTAAAATGTTACTCTGCTAAAGTACATGTGAATAAAGAAATAATTTCAAGACGACATAACAGTGTCAAGGAATGAGTGCTGCTCACGTGGGAGAAAAGAGTCCAAAATGAGAATCTATTCATTTGGGTATTCACAATACTATTGTTCACTTTTAAATATATATATATATTTTTTTTTTTTTTGCACAATATTTTTATACGTAATTGCTACATATAACATAGTAATGTAATAAGTTGTACTTTCCTTACAGATTCAGTGAGATTCTTGCCAATGTATGTTTCATGTCCCATGTGTCAATATAGATCTGCAATCAGAAGACCAGCTGACCTTTTGTGATTTGTGTTTGGTATCAATGAAATTACATGATAATGTGATCAAATAGGAGATGTAATGCATTTATTCTATTCTATAATTATCATTGAGTATGAAATGTGCTTTTTAAATAAACTTGCCTTGAAATTGGCAGTATTGATGAACATTATTATTGCTGATGGCCGATTTTAATTTGAAACTCCTATAATGATTTTGAAACAAAATATTAATAAATTTTACATTTAAACGGAAAAAAAAACTAGAAAATATGCTTTAAAAGTTCATCATAATTGTTGTGCATATTAGTAAAATAATTTTGTAATTTTATATAATTTATATAGTTTAATAATTTTGGTTAAACTAATATATTTTACAGTACTGTTTTACACCTGTAAATGTATTGAAGGTTGATTATAGGCAAACTTAAACAAAACGAGAAAAATATTGAAATAAAAATTATCAGTAAAACAATTGATGTGAGTACACCACAACATATAGATTGATGTGAGGAAATTTGGTTAAAATACGATGTATAAAGAACATAATTTTATATTTTTAAATAAAAATATTAAATGCATGCAGTGGTTGTAAGCAAACTTAAAAAAAATACAAAATAATATTAAAAGAGATATTATTAGTAAAAGAAATGAGTACACTAAAACATGTAGACAAATGCTGGAAAGAATATGCTGACAATAAAATATTTTTATTTAAAAAAAATAAAAGACATTAATGACTTTGACTTAAGGCTAACATAAAGGCAACAAAAATTATATAATATTCTTAAAAGAATTTAAATAAGTACAACAAAAAATAAAGTAATGCTTGAAAATCAATACCACCATCACCACCACCATTGAAATCATAAAACCACAGTCTTCATTTTATGTTGTACTCACATCAATTATTTTACTATTGTTCACAACAATTATTATGGTAAACTTTTAAAGCATATTTTCTATAGTGTTTTTTTTTTTTTTTTTTTTTGGAATGTAAATATATATTAATATCTTGTTTCAAAATCATTGTAGGATTAAGAAATTAAAATCAGACATCAATAATTATATTATCTATCACTCACAGGTAAATTTTTATAACTACATGTTGTAAATGAATTTATATTTATAAGCATAATTTCTGTAGTGTGCTTTTCATCACAGTGAATTTAAATATCTTAATATCTTGTTGCCCAATCACTTTAGCATCAACAAATTATTCATAATATCCCCTATCACTCACAAGTAGCCTTATACATGTATATGTTGTAAACAAATGTATATTAATGTTTATAAGAATGTTTCTACAGTATATATTTTTCATGGTAAAGGTAGATATCTTAATATTTTGTTTCACAATCATTGTAGGATTAACAAATTAATATTAGACATCAGCAATTATATTGTCTATCACTCACAAGTAGCTTTTCATAAATATATCTTGTAATTAAATTTATATTGATAATTATTAGCATATTTTCCACAGCATGTTTTGTCAACACAGATATCGTAATATCTTGTTGTGAATTCATTGTAGGATCAACAAATTAATATCAGAAATCAGTAATAATATCAATTATCACTCAAGTAAGTTTTAAGAAATATATGATGTAAAAATTGTAATTAATATTTATGACCATAATCGCTGTAGTGTGGGTTTTTCATGAATGTAAACATCTTAATATCTTGTTACACTTTAATGGTAGCGTCAACAAATTATTATCAGACATCAGCAATAATATTATCTATCACTCACAAGTAGCTTTTCATATATATATATATATATATATATATATATATATATATATATATATATATATATATATATATATATATATATATATATATATTTTTTTTTTTTTTTTTTTTTTTTTTTCTTGTAAATACATTTAAATTGATAATCATAAGTATATTTTTCACAGCATATGTTTTTTCATGGTCAACACAGATATCTTAATATCTTGTGAAATCATTGTAGGATCAACAAATTAAATCCAGCCACCAGCAATAATATTATCTATCACTCACAAGTAATTTTTTATAAATATATTATGTATATTAATTTATATTAATATGTCTGTGCATAATTTCTGCAGTGTGTATTTTTAATGAACCTAAATTTATCTTGTTATATATATATATATATATATATATATATATATATATATATATATATATATATATCATCACTCACAAGTACATTTTGAGAAATATATGGTTTACATTAATTTATATTCATATTTATGTGCATAATTTCTGTAGTGTGTGTTTTTCAACGTAAATGTAAAAATCTTAATTTCCTAATGTCCTAGTGTAGGAAAAACAAATTAAAATCAGACATCAGTAATAATATTATCTATCACTCAAAAGGACCTTTATGCACAATTTCTGTAGTGTGTTTTTCATGGTTAATGTAAACATCTTAATATCTTGTTTCACAATCATTATAGGGTCAGCAAATGAACATCAGACATCAGTAATACTATTGTCTATCACTCACAAGCACCGTTTAATAAATATGTTAGATATGAATTAATATTTGTGAGCATAATTTCTGTAGTGTGTTTTTCATGAATGTAAATATCTTAATATTTTTTAGTGAAATAAATGTAGGATAAAGAAATAAAATCCAGCCACCAGCAATAATATTATCTATCACTCACAAGTAGCTTTCATAAATATGTTTTGTAAATAAATTTATATTGATAATTCTAAGCATATTTTCATACAGTTTGTTTTTTATGGTAAATGCTTTTATGGTATCTTAATATCTTGTTTTACAATTATTGTAGGATCAATAAATTGACATCAGACATAAATAATTATATTATCTATCACTCACAAGTACATTTTCATAAATATATTTTGTAACATAATTTATATTAATATTTGTGTGCATAATTTCTGTAGTGTGTTTTTCATTTTGCGTGTAGATGTCTTAATTTCTTTAAGTCCAACCATTGTAGCGTCAACAGATTAATATCAGACATCAGTAATAATATTGTCTATCACTCATAAGTAGCTTTTCATAAATATATTTTGTAAATAAATTTATATTGATAATTCTAATCATATTTTTCATGGTAAAACACAGATATCGTAATGTCTTGTCCAGTCATTGTAGGATCAACAAGTTAATATCAGACAGTCATAATATCCCTTATCACCCACAAGCACTTTTTGAGAAATATATTGTGTAAAAAATTTAATTAATATGTGACCATCATTTCTGTAATGTTTTTCATGAATGCAAATATGCTAACATCTTGTTGTGAAATCACTGTAGCGTCAACAAATATCAGACATCAGTAATAATATTAACTATCACTCACATGTATGGGCGTAAATCTGATTTAACAGTAGGGGGGGACAATCAATATAAAATTTCTTTCGAGCATTTTTTTGAGGGGGACAAATAATACAGCCGAATTGTACAAATAAAGATATGTCCCCGCAGTTTAAAATAGTTTATTGATTTCATTATTATTATAGCATGCAGACTACGTCATTATGATTATTTTTTTAAACGTTTTATTAGGTTTAAAGATAAAGCAAATTTTTCATCGAAACTATTTATTGCATTGTTTGTTGTGTTGTTTACAGTCAACAGACTGACTCCTGAAGCAGAATAAATGCAGGAAAATACATTTTCCATACTCATAATAAGTAGTTTACATTACACTTGTTAAATTGACCGATCATATTGTAAATAGGTGAGCCTGTGAAGTTAATCTGCTAAACAGCCACAACTCCAAAAACATTAAAAAAAAAAATTTCACCCCCCCATAAGAATTGTCATTATCCCTTCAATAATGCACAACACCCTTACCTGACACTGTACATCTGACTGACCCTGCTCTGCCTGTTCCCCAATCATTTATTTCTCCTTTGTCTGTGATTGATATTGTGACATTACTATTTTCATAAGCACTCATTCTTAAAGCCAAATTGCTTAATATGTGAACTTTTTGTACTTGGCGTTTAGCTGCACTGAAAAATGATCTTACGTCCATTTTCTCTGTCATGTTATCCAATGCATGACACTGCCAGGCAAGTTTATTTATACTGTACCACATTTTATAAACAATGTGCTTTACATAAAGAATGTAAAACTATTATAAAAATAATCACAACAATAAAAACAAGTACATTTTTTATTTCAAATTAATTTTCACTTAAGAACAGAATAGAAACTGATTATACAAAATACAGTGGGGTTAGACTGTACGTAGCACAGTGCTCATTTAGCAAATACACAGCTAAACAATATGCTAATTGTGTTCGTTAATGTTAAGTTAACATTATGCTAAGTCGTCACAAATAAAACAATGCATGGGAAACGGCTTTGGCGTTGCAACCATAGGTTGCAACAAGCTAACGTTAACGCTAACTAGATGAGTCCTTTTTACTGCTAATACAGCAGATTCGTGGACAATTACGTCGGTAAACAGCATTTTTGCTGCAAAAAAAAATTATTAACGAGTCTTTATTAACTAAATTGAAGAGAATTGTTTCATTTAAGTTGGATAAAATCCCCTACTTACTTTCTGAAATTCAACATTTACTCAGCCAAACCTGCAGCTGCACACCTGACGTGTGCTTGTGTGCGAGTAGGTGAGAAGAGCTGGGGAAATCACGCAGTGGACTGAATCACTCTGATGAAGGGGAGGGGGAACTCAACTGTTTCTAAATGCTTTTTAAATGATGAATGCGGTTTTCTTTCTACTTAGTAAATTATTTTAGGTATATATATATATATATATATATATATATATATATATATATATATATATATATATATATATATACCCTCGAATGGGAGGGGACATGTCCCCCCCGGGATTTACGCCCATGCTCACATGCACTTTTTGACAAATATATGGTGTAAAATCTGTATTAATTATGACCATAATTTCTGTAGTGTGTGTTTTTCATGAAGGTAAATATCTTTATCTTGTTTTGAAATCACTGTAGGATAAAGGAAATTAATATCAGACATCTGCAATATTATCTATCACGCACAAGTTTGGAGAAATATATGGTGTGTGTGTATGTGTAAGCTAATGGTTTTTTTATTACAAAGTATTGCAGGGCTCTAGAGTGCTCAGATTTCTTGATGGTGCAACTAAAAATTCTATTCGAAGGGGAAAATTAAATGAATTTTCTATAAGTATCGTTAAGGAAATATTTACAAAATGAACTTGCTTTTGGTTATATCTATATCTGTTTTGCGCACGTGCACGTACACGCACTCTTGCTCACCAGCAGCAGTTGATTGATACATGCTGCTTAAAGGCGCTACCAATGTACCGAGCGGCAGGTGTTCCAATTTTAAAGTGTCTTATTTTTTTAATCTCTCAAATTAGGCTAACATAATCTCCCTCTGAGATATTAGTTCAATTATGTGCTGTATGCTATTGACCAACAGCCCCTGTTTACAGTTTACACACTGCAGATCCACAGTTCTGATATGAATTACTTGTTTTAAATGACAGTGAGACATGCTATATTTAGTTTTTATTTTAAAATATACATTATAATCCAGTACAAAGTAAAATAATATTTATTAATGGCCTATTAGCAGCGTATAGCCGTTAAGCTTAAATAGTCTAAGTATGTTTTTTATTAATATTAAAACTAATTACAAACGAGCCACCTTTTGATTATTTCGTTTGCGTATGTTTTTATTAAACGAGAAATGCAATGAGTTGTATTTTGGTTTTAATTTTATTAGACATATAATAGCCATTTAGGCAACACTACTTCTATAACATTAGCTCTGTTTGCCTTTTTACAGATATCCCACAGATCAGAGGCGCCTGCAGCCTTAAGGTTGGCACACAGCGGATGAACCGCTCAGCACCGCTACACGGCGTGCACATGACAGTTGATAGTATCAAACACCAGACGCGCACATTCGCATGGTATTTAAGAGGAAACTAATCAGATGGCGCTCTGTGGCGCGGCAGAAATATGAACTGTGTCCTGAGTCGTGGCTGGGCGCAGTTGACTTGGTGCGCCGATGTGTGTACCCTGATAGAAACCTATATTTAGAATTGTAAAAAGCATGGCGCTGTGTGGCACAACGGTGTTTTTCAGTGGCCTTCAGCATTGTTGGGTCTGGCATACTGCTTCTTCGTTTTCGCATAGTTTGAAACATTTATCAGAGTTTTATATTGATTAAAATAAAAAATGAGAAATGTCTTATTTATAATGTCTTTTCTGTTTTATAACATTATACAGTTTCCATCACACACTTTTGAAGATGCAGGTTACATTTCAAATAATTAGGCAAAACCATATCACTGTCCCACATATGTAAACGTAAAAAACATTTTAAGTAGTCATCTTGCGCTTTGTGAATGATTTTCTGCTCAAGTGCATCAAATGTGAGGTGATTTAAAAGGGGGTGGGACATGTAATGCTAGAGAATATGTGATTGGTCAAGATTTGATGAGAAACCAGTATAAGTTGATGTGAAAAAAAGTCGTTAAGCAATTTCAGTGGATTTCGGTAACAAACTGCTAGCGTTAAATGTTTCTATCGGTTTTAAATCTTATAAATGTAAATTGTCACTCTATGGAGCACACTAGCTCAGGGGTTCCCAATTTTTTCAGCCCATCGCCACTAAAATAATGCCAATGACTCACGACCCCCACTATTTTTCAGAGGTGGTTAGAAACATAAATGTTAAATACAAGGGTGCTCACACACACACACACCAATATGCCTATAAAAATGATCAAATTCATAACACAAAGTGTAATCTATACAGTTTTTTATAGTAATTTATTCTATTTAATATGAACCTCACCTAATGAGACTGGTTGGCACATCGTTTGCAGCACAAGTCTATTCTTGTTTAGTTTTTGAGAGCACCACTTTAAGATCATTCTCTATCAGAGTGTCCGCGAGGTCTTAAGTCTAAAATTAAAAAAATAAAAATTTTAGGCCTTAAAAAGTCTTAAATTTGTTGTTCTAGGTCTTAAATATTTAATTATTTCAGCTAGCGGAGCGCACTAAATTTTTTAAACTTGAGCAAACTGTGCGTGGTGCCACACTTAATTTCAGTTGAATATGAATCACTTTGAAAAGATTTTGTCTGAAACAGGTACGACTGTACATACACCTTTATGATCTAAAAACTAGATCAACAATAATTATTAGCTAGTGATTGCAAAAGCAGTGGGAAAGGTGGAAAGTTTTTGTTAAAGTTTGGAAAAACCTGAGGGATATGTTTGTTAAAACAAAAAGAGGTCATGGCAAAAATGACCCAGGTACACAATTACAAAACATGTTTTTCCACCATTTATAGGTTTTAAAAATGTAATAGTTACAAAACTATTATTGAGGAACAAATTATTTCTCTGATAACTGGAAAAAATATACAATATACTAATGCCCTGTTTTTCTAGGCTTTATTGATGATAATCGTAAGGAATGTTGAACCATTATTGCATTTTAGCATATCAGTAGAGGACAGAAACTAACCAGCCAGTAATGTGTGAACTGTAGAGAGGACAAAATAAAATAAAAAGTCAGTATTTTTAGTAAGTACTTTTTTTGTTTTTGTTTTTATTCTTTCCACAATAAAAAATATTATTGTGGAGCAACCATTAATGTTTATCTTTAATAGGTAGAACTGCCCGAGATATGAACAAAAGCAAGTGATGCATCAAAGTTTTATTTACAAAAATCTTGAATGGTTATAAAAATCTTTCTAATCAATAAAATAATTTATTAAAATAATATAAATAATTAGTTAAAAAATCTTGTGCGATATTAATGATATGACAGTTCTGGAAACTTCCTACTTCTCTGTTTATCCGTCTTGACTTTTAACTGCCTCTGTCATTTTAAAGAGCCTCGTCCGAGGTGAGCGCAGTCAGCGAAGCTGCGGGATGCGGCACCAAGCAAAAGTATAAGTCAGCCTTAAGATGTTTGTTTGTTTTTTTCCTGTAGTTCAATGATGCATCTAACCTGTCTTCAGTACTGTTCAATTTGAATACATTTATTTTGCCACTAATTTTGTGATTTTTGCATTTTCTCTTTGTTTTTGTTATTGTGATATAGGTCTTAAATTTAATACTTCATGGTTTTAAAAAGGTCTTAAATTTAACATTTGGATATCAGTAAAAACCCTGCTTCAGAGCTGTTTTAGTTCTTATTTGTGGCATACATTTAACAAGGTACTAGAAATATTAACTAGCTAATTTGCATGGAATTGCTCATATATAAAAAAGCAACATTAAAAATAAACTACTATTAATAGTGTATTTATTTCACATTTCAGACCCGTAGCCAGGTCAGGTTTGGGTGGTTCGGTAGACCCACCCTCACTAACAAATGTGCAGAATTTGTCCCATTCATGAGCTCATTTGTCCTATTTTGAATGCTATGCTATCATAAATAGTAAAAAGTAACCCATCAAAAAAGGCTTTAAGAGTTAACCAGTGGTGGAAAATGCAAGCAATTATTTTTTAAGAGTCCAACATCCAGCTGTACAAGAAAACATCTGACATAAGCAAAGTCATCTTTTATTTTTTTTAAAGAAAGGCTAGGAAAATTGTGAAGCTCTAAATTATTATTATTATGTTTAATTTTTTATTATTTAAAGGGTCAAATTCTGACTGAGGAAAGTCGAATGTGCTGGCCAGTGTTATTTGTCTAATAAATTACAATAGGCTACAGTTTTGAATGTATTTTTTTTTCTAATCATATATGATGTAATAAATTTGTATTTTAAAAATAAATGTCATATTTCTTTATTCTAAATATTTACTAAATATATTTGGTACATCAAAAAGTGTGGTGACCATCCAACAAGCTAATTCAGCTAAAAATGGTGCTTTAAATGTCACTTAACGTTAAATTCAGTATTTAAGCAAAAAGTTCCAGAACCCCACTACCCCCATCACCAGGCTGGCTACAGGCCTGCGTTTAAACTTCATTATAACACATATATTTAATAATTTACCTCAGTAATGTGAGTTATGACACTAATGAGAGTGACTGAGGTGAGTTTCATGAATGGAACTCTTCCCTTTACAGAAGATATAAATAAATAAATAAATGAATAAAGATTGACTCTAAATACAGTACCGATGAGATTAAGTAAATTGTTTAATGTGTGGTTTAGTTAAAAACAGCAACAACAGTTTTATGTCTTTCATGTAGCCCAAATGTCTGTTTAAACACCACCAAAAAGCCTACTTTTAGGCTACACTACAGTTAATATTATTATTTTATTTGTAAACCTAGTGCATTTTAAAATGCGTTTCACTTCTTGTCTTTGCTTTGGCCATCAAAACAATGATTATCTTACGTTTTAATCAATTATGGCCTTTGATTTAAAAAAAAAAAATCCGATCACATCAAAATTTCTCGGCACAATTTACGGCACCAGATCACAACACCAGATCACATCAATACACTGCCCCCCTCTCACCCACACATTGCACTTAATGTTGTGTAGATTATTACACTACCTATTAGAGTATGTCTTATTATCGAAATTGGTTATAAATAAATCCCCTTTCGCTACTTGTCAATCAGACAACGCTTTTATGTTTGTTCTTGCTCTCAATTGATATATAAATATGATCGATAAGTGTCCTGATAAACAGCTGTAGTTTAACTGCTTTGTGGTGCCTTCACCTCCTCTTGCGAGTGGTCTCGCGCGGTTTGTGCCATGCATTGCAATAAATTAATAAGTTGTATATAAAATTAGCATTTCAAAACCCCTTAAATTTTGGCAACCTGCCAATGCCACTTTTTACCAAGCAGCATCTTCCCACTCTCCCTCAGGAAGCCAATATTTGGAAGTAACTAAAACTGCAATTCATCGACTCACCTTGGGGGGCTGGCTCCAGGAAGTACAGGTGATTTCTGACTGCAATGGTAAATTGGCCATTTTTTTCCCCCCCTTTATTTTCATGCCAAGAACAAATTTCATTAAGTTGGCCATTTTTACAGTTGATAAAATAAAAACATGTTTACACCCTGGTACAAAAGATGGCTTTGGTGCATATAGCTATGATTACCCTTCATGAGAGGGGTGAATTTTTTCGCAGACTATATTTGAAGTGTTTGAAATATTGAAATGTTGAAAAAGGCTTAGTGGCTCAATGTGTTACAATTGTATTTTTAAAAGTCTAAGTATTGATCTAGTATACAACCAAGCAAAAGGGTTAGCGTTAACCGTTAGGGTTAGGGTTAGGTTAGGTGTAGTAACGAGCAAACAAAGAAAACTAAGCACAAGGCAGAAGATATCATAGGTAAGATTGAGTTTTTTTTTTTAGTTTTTTAAAAAATTTTTATGATCTTTTTGTGCTAAAGTAATCTTACTGCAATCACCATAAGGCAAAGTAGCACCAACTCCCACTAAACACTAGGCTTCAGCTAGTTCTGTTGAATAAAATAAGCAAACAATGAATAAGAAATATGACAATGAGATGCTGCGCTGCCAGAAACTTATAGTCGGCTAGTGAACCAGTCGTTCATAACGGAGATTCATTCACAAACGAATCGCTCCCTCCGTCAGTATGAGAAGTGAAAGCAGGAGAGAAGGTGTGTTTCAGGCAGGGTGGATAGTACATTTCTGTACACACAAACAAGCTTTTTGTCAGGAACGCCAGTGCAATCACTGATCCATCAATGTACAAAAGTGATGTAAAATTATAATTTTCGTAATTAGAAAGAAAAATTACAAACTAACATCCAGGAAAACTCCCGATCATAGATATATGTGCATATGTGTATATCTTTGGCTTTGGATGGCCACAGTCCTCCACTGTACCTTGGGCAAGCATTCATTTCAAAGGAGCGCTACTCTGTTTCAATATGGCAGCTCTATTGACGCATTCCTTCTAATAGACAACAATAGGGTTTGGCGACATCTATATATCTATGCCCTGAGACCACGCTCAGACCTGCACTTCCAGACCTATCGTTTTCTCAGACAGTGCCACCTGCTGTTGGATTTGGTAAAAAGACATGTTGGTGCGATATGGGAGGCGCCTCGTGACAGCGCCAGCGCAGAAGAATAAAACTCTGGAGGAGCATTTTTTTGCGCATGAAGTTTGAAGATATCGAGCTTGTACTGTTTTCTCTTATCAGCTGCTAGTGCTCTTTCCGATGCAGTATATTCGGTGACAGTTTCTGGCGCATTTAACCCACAGATTGATACAATGGTAAGTTGTTTTGTTTTGAAACTTTAAAGTTTGTTTCGTTTTGCTGGTGATATTTTGAGGTTAGCTTTACAAATCAAGACCATTGAGGGCAAACGTTTTAGAAACAAAATGTGTAGCTCAAACCTGTATATGAGGGAAGTTTTCTGGATCTATAACACAAAAACGGTTAGATAAGAAGCTAATAAAAAGTGACGGCAAACGCCGCATAAAGTTGGTTTGACGTTGTTTATTGTTGTTACAAACAAGTGCAGTTCTGCCATGCTTAACGATCATTATGAAAGTGAAATCTATTTAGATTTTTGTTTCGACAGGCTATAGTAGGTTAGCTTTCAATTCGCTTTGTTAGAGATATGTGATAGTAAGTTGCTAGTATCGTTCTTATTGTTTGTGTCTGAATTTGAAACTGCCTTGTTCTTTTCAAAGTCATTTAAAAGTCATTCAAAAGGTCTTTAGCCTTTATTGTTGGTTTATTTCAGGTGTTTGTTGAAACACAAGAGAGGGGATTTTTTGCCTTGTCTCAAGGAAATTCCATATTCATTATAGCAGTCAAAACTAGAGAGGAAGGAAGGGAAGGAAGGAGGCAAAGAAAGGATGTAAAAAGAGATTTGTATCCTGCAGTTCTGGTTCAATGAAAATGGTGATGAAAAACTCAAACTCTACATATGTCTGAAAATGTAATTTTTTTGTTGTATTAAACACAAATACCTCTAAATTACATTTTAAAATGAAATAGAAACGTTGTCAGTAGTTTACAAAATAAGCCAAATAAAATAGATTTTGCTTAAAAAATATATATAATTCAGTTTTCCATATAATGTATTTCATGTTCATGTTACAAAATCCTCATTCTTTTAACTCTATTCATTCATTGTACACATCTAAAGAAAAATGGGTCACACTTTGCAATAAGTTTTCATTAATTAATATTAGTTGATGTGTTTATTAATATAAACTGACAATGAACAAAACATGTGCATCATTTATTATTCATAGTTCAAAATTTACTAAAACTTTATCAAGTAAATCTAAATTCATGCTTTTTAGCATTAGGTAATGCACCATAAGTTAACATAAGCTAACAAAGAACTGTATTTTCATTAACTAACGTTAACTAACGTGAACAACTACTGCAATGTACTGTTCATTGTTTGTTCATAATAGTAAATACATTAACTAACATTAACTAATTCAAACTTGTTGTAAAGGGTTACATAAATATAATAAAAATTAACATGTGGCTGTATAACCCATCATTATATTCACTTAAAATATATCACTCAAAAGAAGAAAGAAGACAACATCAACAACAAACAATCTTAGACTTAATCTTGTACCCAATTATACGGCTAGTTGCAATTTAATGTGCTATTTAAATTGTCATTTCCTTTTAGCATGTTTTTTAGTTTCCCCCTATTGT